TGCTTGAATTGCTCAAATTTGTTAGGAAAAAAAAAAGTCGTGAGAAACAAAAAAGAATTGAACAAATTGCTGATGGATCTTGTTTGCTAGTCAAAAAAATAAGATTCAAAATAATAAAAATTGATTTTATGATCGACGAAACTTTTGCAATTGCTATTATTCTAGATTAGTTTATTGCTAGACACTGACTAACTGTTGCTGTTGCAATAATTCTTGTTTATTACATTGTTGATGGTTAAAATAGTGGCAATAAAGTTAAAGAGTGTTGAATTATTGCAGTGTGGATTACATAAGATGTAGAACAGAACATGCAAGGAGTATCACGTGGATAGTTATTGAAATTGTAATTCGAATCGATTGGTTAAGGTTAAATTGTTCCATATTTTAAGAAGAATTTTCAATAAACTTATATTAATGAAGTAGCTAAAGAATAGCGCATGCTTAATTTGAAGAGCAGATGAAGAAAATAAGGATCAACAAAGTTTTTTTTTCAAAGAATAAAAAGTTATCAATGACAGAAACTGTACAATTAAAGGAACAACATAGAAAATGTTGAGGTATTGCATATTTTCATGTTCAAATTAGATCATTTTATTTTCATGTTGTTGGTTTTTGTAAATAATGCTGGTTACTCAAGGATGCGTCTGGAAGTCAATTAGAAGACCCACGGATCGCAGAGTACTTGTATACTTCTTATTGATCATATCTCAGAAGTTTATTCAAAATGTTTAATTTCAAAATTATCAAAATTCTTAAAAAAAAAATTATCTTTAAAAGACCACTTTATGTTGGAATTAAGCAATCAAATCCTTAAACAATCTCTTTCCCATAATATCCAAACAGAAACTTTCTAAAAGATAAAATATTAGACAATAATTTTGACATTTTACAACAAATGTCCATTTCACTATTTGATTTTTTTACGATGACTTAAAGCTACTTAAATTACTGTATTAAATTTCATTAACATTTACATGTTTGAAAGAGTTTTGAAGTTAATAAGCCACCTAATAGCACATAAAACTATCAAAACTGTCAGCAATAAATTTCACTACTAAATGTTTCGATGAAAAAAGGCAAAAATTGCCAGAAGACGATAGAAATCAGTTCATTTATTTTTTGATAAATGTTGCATAAGAGACTTTAAATGTTAAAATATCACAAACACGATAAACAAATATTGGATATATTTTGTCATTTAATATTTCAATGATTTGATGCTTATTAGCGCGATATCTATAAAGTTCAGAGAAAGTATCGAGATTGCATAATATGAAAGGTTTCTTTTGCTGATTTGTTTAAGAAACTGACTCGAAACTTAACTTTAAGGATGAGGTAAAAGTCTAATTCTATCGGTTTTATACGATTCAAACTTTAACAATTTTCAAACATTTAAATTTTTGCGGCTTTCAAAAATCAAATTTTTATGTTTCTCAAAAATTCAAATTTTACCGAATCTCAAAAATTCAAATTTTTAACGATATTAAAAATTAGAATTTAAATGGTTCTCAATAATTCAAATTTTGTCGGCTTTTAAAAATTTAAAATTTTAACGCTTCTCAAAAATGACGGTTTTTTAAATTTCATTACTTTTAACGTCTTCAGAAAATTCATCATTTCAAAAATTAAGTTTAAAAAGTATTTTAAATAAATTTAATTTCTTGAGTACCTTCATGCTCTCATTAAACTGTTTACAAATGCCTTAAACACTCTGAATTTTCCCAGAACTTCTTCCATTTCAAAATATTGAGGGCACAATTAACAATATAACAAATTAAATCAGGTAAATACACAAAAACAATCTCGAAGTTTTCAGACAATTTATTGGAAATATTCTCCATGAATTCAGCAACTGTATTGAAATTATCTTTCACGAGCGTCTCGTCTGGAACATTTTTACCGTGTTACAGAACGATAAACATTGAAATTATTGGATAAACAGAAGGGATTTCATCTTTATTAAGTCTTTTTATAGAACGTGACATCATTGAAATGTTTTTATAGGTCGGGATTAAGTAAATTGATATTATTACAGTCATGACTGGAACTTTTCATTTTTAAATTCTTTTAAAATTCACAAAAACCACAAATCTGCTCAAACTATTAATAAGTCCATTAAGTCTCTAATTTTTCCCATAAGGATACACGCAAATAAAATCAAAATTAATAGTTTCCACATTGCAGGTAATTATGATCAATAAATATCAGTCATTCAATATGTTATGAGAAATGTATTAGGCTTAGATAAATTTTCTACAATGAATCAAACTTAATGGCGCGCTTCAAGAAAATGCGCCTAATAAATCATCACACAAATTATACACTTTCGTAGAAGCAAAATTTATTTTCGCAACCTGGTATGACTTTTGAATAATTTTTTTTTCTCTTTCTTTCGATGTGTTGCGGAGATGATGAGATTTACGGGGATGGTAATGATTGAAATTGTTGGATTTAATTAATGTTAAGACTCAAGTTGAAGTTTATGGAGTTTAGTAAGTTTCTGGTATGATCAGGAGTGATCAGGACTATAAAGAAAACTGATATCTGAGACTTAGTAATTCTGGAAATTAGACTGATCCAATGGGAATCGAACCTGCTTTAGAAAAAGGTATATTATTGAATCTATCTAATTAAAGACTTCTGTGATTCGTAAATTTTAAGTTTTATGACACAGATCTCCTATATTCTAAGTTAGAAACCCTTCTCTAAGTCAGAGCTGTGCTCATGGACACTATGAACCCCTCTAAGAATCATTGCTAAGACTCTCTAGCACAGTGGTTCTCAAACTGTTTCTCACGACACAAACAAAAGCTGTGTGGACTTTAAAAATGCCATTTCTTAGTAATCAGCAATCAAGTTCTCCGTTAAGTTTCTGTAGCAACAAGTAGTGTGCAATCTGATGACATTTCTGCCTGTAGCCTACAAAAGAAGGAGGCTCACATCTATTCCAGATCATATGATTTGAAAAAGGACAAGTGAAAATTTCTCTTGTCGAGTCTCGAACCCATGATCGCTGTGTCAGTATTGCAATGATTTGGGCTTGAAGTACTAAACCATTCTGCCACCAAAGCACTTCAGCACACAAAAACAATAGTTGTCTTAGTACTACTTGAGTCTAATATTTGTTAATTTATCAATATTTAATTTTCTAATTTGAAATCTATAGCTTATCTAGTCTGATCTTTTTGACAACCTTAACTAACGGTAACGGAATAGTCATGCATGTCAATTTCCCCATCCACCATTCCAAACAGCCATTCAAAGCTTGATGAAAAAGTATTAGGCTCAAATGATATTCGTAATTCATCAATACGGTGAATAAAAACATCATCTCTCTTAAAAAGATATAAATTCATTCTCGCAGTCCCAAATAAATTTTTTTTTTTGAATTCACCGAGAATTGAATTTTTTTTTAAAATTCAGCAACCAAAATAATTCATTTATATGTATTATGACGAAACTTTATAGTGTGGTTGGCGCACACTCATGTCAACAACTACACTGATAAAATAATAAAGAGACCTGAAGAGAACAAAAGAAGTTTTTAAAAACTGTTACAGTGCAGTAAAGAAAGCTTTACTGTTGTTTTAAGCCAGCACGAAAGATGCCATAATTACTTACAGCCCATCGTCTCTCCACAATTCTTTTTTTTTTTGTAAAGGAAAAGAACAATAAATTATCGTACATTACATTTTGAACATTTAGCAATAAGCAAGAGAGACTCTTTTGCATCATTTTTCTTCTCTTACATAATTTCTTTCGTTTTTTGTGTGAAGGAAAAACTTTATTTTCCTATCTCTCATATATTTTTTTATTTTCACGGGCAATGACCTTAAGTATGCAATATTGATGGCTCATTATGGCTAAGTGCTGAGGTAATAAACGAAAATTTGAGTTGAGTGGACTTTCTTGCCTAAAAATAAATTTTAATAGAAAAGGATTCACTCGTGGTTTAATGTTAAAGCTTGTTGACATCCGCAGAGGTTCTTTTGAGCCACATGTAAATAATTGGGGCTGTTGGGATGTGTGGTGACACGTTGGGGAACTTACAACATTTATTCTCCTTTATTCATATAAAACATGATCAAATGAAGCTTAGACTAAGTTAAATCTAAGTAAGAGCCTGATTCCTAACATCCCATAACTCCCATATGACCTCCAAAAGCCCCTTTGTGTGCTTTCTATTTACATAAAATTTTTTTAGATTTCAGCTGTATATTGTAACATTTTTGAGGCAGCAAGAATTGGGCAGGCGATGTAAAGACGTACAGAAAAAAAAAGTTTCGTTTCTGATGAAACAGCAAAGCCCGAGAGTTCATTCAACTTTTGAAGCTGAGAATCAAAACAGAAACGATATTGAGAATGACGAAGAAAAAAGGCGCGATTTTTTTTTCTGTAATTTCCTACACACAATTAAGTTTCTGTATGTTCTGCTTGTGTTCGTACTGTGAACGATTTCTGTTTGCCTAGTATGAAATTTCCTTCTCCGTACTCTCTCGAGTGAGATATAAATTTATTTTTGCATTAATTCTGTTGTCTTTTTTCTTCTTGTGTATCGTTGAATGATCGAGAATGCAATATTTTTGAGAAAACTTTTTTTTTTGTGATAAAGTTGCCGGGAGATATGAAAAATAGTCTATTGAGTCTATTGTAAGTTCTCAAATTTCATTCCAAACGGAGAGTAAAATTGTAAGCTATTGTTATGGACGTGAGAATATTTAACATGTGACAGTGAATGGGGTATAAGTGAATTTTTTCTCGATCGGCTTCTAATTGAGTTCAAGTGTCAAAAATTTGAGTAGTTTGAGTGCTTTAAATATTTTTAATGGCTTTTGGACATTGAGAAAGGGCTTATGTACCAGAATTTCTAGACCATGATAGTGTAGTTTTGGGATCATTCTAATTTATTGACCCCCAAAAACTCGTAGAATCCATAATCAATTGAAAATATCCTTAAAATTACCCCTGAAATAATCAAATCAAAAAATTATAAAATTTACCTCGAATAGAATTTGGCGTTTTAATCTTCTCAGAACTACCATCTTGACTACCATTATTATTTTTATTTAATCCTATATTTGTACTAATTGTTGACGATGATGATGAGGCGGACGATGCCGATGGAGGCATCGAAATGGCATTTGACGGGGGTGGTGTTGTGCTATCAGGTCCAAAATCAGGATTAGTAAAGCAATCAACATTCGATCCTGACATCATATTTCCAGCATTCAAGCCACCACCATTTAAGGTATTGAACAGTATCGTACCATGCTGATGATGAATTAAACTTGATGAATTGCAATTGCTACCACCACTACGATTTAGATTGCTGCGTACGGAATCTAAATCTAATCGACTCAATAGCTTTGGGTTCGTAAATTGACTATTGAGACCATTGTTGTTGCTATCTCGTGAATTTCCACCGGCAGTTAAGATTGTCATGCCACCTGCATTATTACCAAAACTACTCGATCTTGATTGATGTTGCTGGTGTTGTTGCTGCTGATGATGTTGTCTTAATCCATCCAAATACAATCGATTATCGATTGCAAATGATGCTAAATCTCGATTATTTGTTGAGTGTGGTGGTTGATTCTGTGCCAATTTACTCGGTGCTAAAATCGATGAACTCGATTGTCCCGAGGACACAGAACTTTTATCCGTTGACGAGATCTCATTTCTCGGATGTAAATTTTTACTTCCACCCCACATTTGTTGGGGAAAGAAATTATTAAAATTATTATCCATCTTCGATGGCTGCTTTTTTATAAAAAGGAATTTTTTTTTCGTCTCGATTCTAGGTTTAAGGTTTTGATTATTTTTTTTTTGGTATGATTTATAGATTAGAAATTATTTCTTAGTAACTTTATATATTTTTTTATAGATTTTATATTTTATATTTTTCACTTTGATTTCATTAAGTTGGATACAGTTGTATTATTAGTTTAACGTACATCTTAAAGATTGTGCGTCGATTCGCCCGATTTTTTAAAGGTATTTTTATCACTTTGACTGTTTGTCTTGCACAAAAGTTATTTTTCTAGCTTATCAAGTTTCTTATTCGTTGTTTCACGTCAAATTTTTTTTGAACACAGTTGCTTCCAATTTTTTTTTTAAACTAAAAGAAACTATTTAAAAATTATTACAATAATAAAATCGCTTGCATGTTCATAGCATTTGCAGAAAAACGAAGAAGACAAAAAATATGCAAACATAAAAAAAAATCGATAAAAATTTCATGCTGAACCTTACTCAATACTATTATGCGGTCTTTGACTCTTTTCGTTAAAGTTTTTCTGTTTTGGAGAATAGAATGCAGATGTGATGAACTTGGAGTTGAAAACTTATTTGATTTTGAAAAGGAAAATGTGGGATTTTAGATCAGTGGTGGAAAAACGTGCTTTAAAGGATGACTTTAAGCTTGGAGAAAAAGCTGTGGACACCTCAAAAAATTCACAACTCATGTCCCATTCATTCTTGACTGGTTCTTAGCGAAGCTAGCTTTGGAAACCCCAAAAAATTCACAACTCATGTCGCATCCATTCTTGACCGGTTCTTAGCGAAGCTAGATTCACAATTCTATGCAAGCATAATCGCATGTCACAGAACTTTAAGAATTAAATATGGTACATCGATAAGGAAACAAGTATGATCGTGTGGCTCACGTGGAACAATTCGTAATGCTAGGTTAAAGTCATTAAACTTTATCCAAAGAAAAATTATTGTGTGTATGAACTCAACAAGGGTTTAAATTGATTATAATGAAATGAATTTATTATGAAAATAAGAGTCATGAATAATGGAGGTTCGAGAGAAAATGATTATGGAAATGGGAGAAGGTGTTCGGTTAGACTTTTTGGGTTATGCTTTGAATTTTATGTACATAATGTTTCAAAAATCTGACAACTGTTTTGTCTTTTGTTCTAAAATTGCTTAAATTTGAGTTTTTAAGTCTCACAATGCTTAATTTTGGGATTTTCGCTCTAAAATTGCTTAACTTTGGGATTTTTGCTCTAAATTTTAAGAGAATGCCTTTCTCCTTAATGATGCACGTGATAAGTAAACGACCCCTAAGTGAATGAACCTTCAGCTAGCTGAAACCTTCTTTATCTAAGTTGTAACAAATTATAAATCAGTATTTTATCTACAGCTTACTCAAATATGATTTTATCGAGAGGCTTGGCATACATATTGATATCTTTAGTGCTGTTCAAGTGCTTCTGATATGAATTACATAAGTTTTAATCTATAATTTTTTAATAAATAGTTTATGTCTATTCAGTTACTTTAATAATGAGACAGTTAAAAGGAGGACCTAGCTCCAGTAGTCTCAGTTAAAAAGAGGAAAATAATACATAATAAGCTACATGCAGCAAGGTCATGTCTAGACAAAAATAGGGTTCTAAATTTTTTGAGAGAATTTTGAGATTATTTCTCGAAAACCCCAGCAAATTTAAGAAATTTCTCATCGAGATTGGGGTTTGGACTCATATATAGGCGTCCGTAGCTCAAGTAAGAGCTAATTCAGACAGTTTAAAACAAAATAAATGAAGGAACTTCACTGAAGTTTTGCAATAAATCGTGATAATTTCAAAAAAAACTTTATTCAAACTTTTAAAAATCAATTTTTTAGCATTGTAAAGTCGTGTACAATTATCAATATTTCAACAACATTTCCATTGTAATCCAGGAAAACTATAACTCTTTGCCTTGCTTCCCACAACTTTTAAATTTTTAAAAACATTTTAAAAAACAATTTACTTTTCAAAATTCAATAATAAATGCTTGAATAAAAAAATTCCCAATCATCCTTTCCCATGATTGACTGCACTAAACTAAATCACAAAAATAAATGAAAAACTGTCAATTTATTTCCCATCAAAAAAAGCATTTCTTTAAAGTCGCGTGAATCGATAAACTAACAAAAAAACCTCTTTTGTCTACAAAAAATACACAAAACACAATCAGACATTTATTTCTTATCAAATCGATACAACACCATACGATTTTATTTTATCAATTTCTATCACCACACGAGTAGATTAACTGCTGCACTGTCAGACTTATCCTTTTACTAGTTTTAGAATTGATATATCATATAAAAATATATGTGAAGATAATTTAAAGAACAATTGTCAGAGAATTTATATTGTTAATAAATTTTTCTTTTTATAGATTAAATAATATCTGATGAGTTCATTGAATTGGCACAACCAACTGTAATTCTACCTGAAATGGGTGAATGGCTTCCAAACAAAAGAGAGAAATCCGAGAGAGAATTTTTTTTAAAATATAAAAAAAAATATTTCGCAAAAGGAAAATCGTGTGTTAGGTCAGGATACGGAAATTGATATTTTTCAAAATGTCACAATTCGCGTGCCTTCAATAAGTGACTCATATAATATCCGGCCTGTTTCACTAAGGTGGATTATCCACCGATTGGATTATCCACTTTTTCAATCCGAAGATAATCCATAAATTTTTTTACTTCGTTAAACTGCACGGTGAATCAGAAAAAATGGATTTAAAGAAAATAATTTTTTGACGATGGATTTCACAAAATAAGATTATCCTAGTAAGTGGATTATCCGACGATTATACTGAGATTATCCTAGGATTATCCACATAATTAATCTAAAATGTTTAAACTGGGTCCCACCAAGATTGAAAATTCGGATAATCTTCAGGATTATCCTAGGATAATCTAAGGATAATCCATATACTAAAATTATTTTTTCGCGATATTCACTATACAAGAAAAATGATTTTTCTCAAACTAGCTTGATTATTATTTACCAATTGATTCTACATCAGAAAGAAATTATTTGGATTTTCCTTGCATCGAAGAAATAGATAATCCTAAAATGAGGATAATCCACCTTAGTGAAACAGGCCGATTATGTTTTGCACCATGCGGACAGTAGAATGGAAAAGAGATTATAAGAAAAAAAAATAAGGGCATATCATAAACACTATAAGTGTTGTTAATATATGCATTTGATGTATATACAGAATGAGAATGAGAGAAGGAACAAAAAAAAAATCAATAAATGTGAATGAAAAATTGAAAAATTATGTACAGATGATTTTGTAGATTAAAAAAAATATTGTGACTTGGCAACAAGATTGATTATAGAGTTATTTTGGGGATGGGAGGGCATTGATGGATTTTTTTCTTAATTTTTGATGAATTTTGGAGAAATTTTTGATGGATTTTGCAGCAATTATTGATGGATTTTGGAGCAACTTTTGAATTTCTGAATATTTCATTGACATTAATCTGAAGTCTTGCTTTAACTGATACCTTTTTTTTTCATTTTGAAAAAAAAACTAGAAATTTTGGAAACATTAAAGAATTCAAAGTTTTCCAGATTTTTTAAGAATTTTTTAACTTATTCAAATCATCTAGAAAATTTATCAGCAGCCCCCCAAAAAAGATCCTCATCAATTTCATTAAATAACGCAATTTTTCAACCCAAAGAACCAATGACCTTTCAATCCACACCAAAAAAAAAGTCCAAAAATCATAGCAATTAATATCCAAAAATTCCCACGATACCCAACACATGCTTTACTTAATTAATTCAACTACCCTCCCCACCCCCAACGTCCTATCATAAACTATAAATAACAACAAAAATTCACAATAAAATTCGCTGACTGCATGAGCAACATTTTGAATATTTTTGGGATTTATATATTTAGAAAAGAAAAATACATAACATTAGAAATACTTAATTTTATATTATCGAACGGCAAAAGAATGTAATACAAGGCATTGCCTCGTCAAAAAGTTCAAAAAACTCTCGAGAACGCACACAAACGAAAGCGAATCATAGCCGAAAGCGGCATACATTTTCGAGACACACAATGACGTCATAAAATTGAGCTTTACTTTATATTTCTTTTTTTTTCCCGAAAAGAGAAAGAGAGATGTGGCGTAGGAGAATGAGCGAGAGAGAGATACAGAATTTTTATGGCTAGAAGTGGCAGTGAATGGAAGTGAACATTGATATAGAAAACATATGATTCGGTAAACGGTTATTTTCGTGTAAATTGCGAACCGCAATTCCACTCAATGGATCCCACAATGTGAATAAATTTTTGCTTTGTTTCCAGTTCTGTTACTCTCATGAGACATTCAATAGATAAAAATTATATAAATGATGTAAAAAAAATCATGGACAATCCACGAACACACACTTCTAGCATACATTTTTTTGACTATTACGCGAAAGTCTCAATGAAATGTATATTTACATTTTTTTTCGTGCGGCCATTGACCAACGTTGTAAGTTATTATTAACGTTAATGAAGTTTTTTTTTTTCTTTACTTCTACGTAGGACACCCGGGATTGGTATCATAATTTCTCATTTTAATGTTAATTTATTTGCATATTTTCGCGATACTGCTAAACAGCTTCTCAAAACCACACGCTTGACCGGAGTCTTGTATAAGAGTCGATGCTTCTAAAACCACACATCAAAAGGCTATTAAGCTGTTCATTTGCTATAGATGACTAGTCTATTGCTTATTAATGATGAGAATATTTAAAGGTAGATTTGGATTTTTTTAATGGAATCATTTTGACTGGAAAGTGCTGAATTCAATCTTGAAGGAATTGATTTATTATCACATGATTTATTTTTTTATGCTGCCCTGTGATTATTTAACTGCAAAATCATGTTTTGATCATTCTTGATGAATTCAATCAGTTCTAAGCCTTTAAACTTCCTGGAGAACCCTT